AGCTAACGTTAGCCAACTTTAAAGATGCCTAAACTTGCTCGTTATTTGAGGTTTTCAGGTCAGGCAGAAGAAGAAACCGCTGAGATGGACTGCGCTCTCCGGGCAGCACAAATCCCCTCACAAAGTCTGAAATATAACAACAGGCTAGAAGGTGTGTAACGTTAATGCATGTGCAATAAATTAATAACAACGGTTAGCCTCACAAACGTAACACTTACCCAGTTTAAGGCCTGAATTACCTGTTGTAAGCAAAAAGCAACAGGTGTGCGTTTGTTTTATTGCAAGAGCTAACCGTTAGAAAACAAACGCACGCAATACACGAGACTCCGACCAAACAAGCGCGTCCCGTACAGCAAAACAAACGCCGCTTTTAGCCCCGAAAGCTGGGATCCGACATACACTTGCTCCACGGCCACTTGTGGATCCGTAGTCTACATAAAAGGATACTCACAAAAACCTCCTCGTACGAATTCACGGTGAAAGCACGTCCGCTTGCATTGTAGACGACTAAACAGCAACCCCGTACATGTCCAACCTGCTTCTCTTTCTTCTGTTTTCCCCCCACCTCTGCGGGATAATGTTCTCTCCCAGGTCCCAACAAAAAGTAGGAGGCGAAGCGCTCCTCAGGATGTGACGTCACGATAAATCCCTCACAAAAACTTGATTAGCATTTTTAAAGCGAACACACCTGGGCGGGGTTAAATGATGCTTTGCGTAGTGTGTCCCGTCTTACCTAAAAACCCCACACTTATTATTATAGACACCTAAAGAGAGACTTCGCATTTATAATTTAGAACTGAGAAATGCAAGGCGGTCCTTCTTCTCTGACATCATCACCACAAATACTAATAATGCACGTGCCCTGTTTGCTGCTCTCGACAGGCTGACCAGCCCTCCTGTGTCTGTAGCCTCTGACCTTCTCTACACCAGGGCCTGCAATGAATTTGCCTCCTTCTTCACAGACAAAATTCAAACAAATAGACAAGCAATCAATGCCTCCATGCCAGTAACAGGATATGTCTTGTCCCTGTGTCCACTCAAAAACAATTTATACAGCATGAGACAATTTGATTCTATTAACCATAAAAACCTGGAGGACATAATACAACATCTGAAATCCTCCTCATGCTGCCTTGATATTCTGCCAACAGGTTATTTAAAAAATGTGTCTAAATGCATGGGCTCAGATTTACTACAAATTGTCAACGTGTCTCTCCTCTCAGGTTTTTTCCCCTGTCATAAAGCCTCTCTTAAAAAAGAGCAATCTAGACAGGTCACTAATGAGCAATTATAGGCCCATATCAAATCTCCCATTTTTAAGTAAAATCATTGAAAAGGCTGTTTTTCAACAGCTTAGTGCTTTCTTGGCACTAAATAACTGTTTTGATGTCTTCCAGTTACCATTTCGACCACACCACAGCACTGAGACGGCTCTTGTTAAGGTCTTCAATGTCATCCATTTAAACACTGACAGTGGCAGAATTTCAGTCTTAGTATTATTGGATCTCAGTGCTGCATTCGACACGGTCGACCACAACATATTACTAGACAGACTTGAAAACTGGGTTGGACTTTCTGGCACAGTACTAAAATGGTTTGAATCCTACTTAAAGGACAGGGACTTTGTGTCTATAGGTAATCACACATCTGAGCTGACAAAAATGACATGTGTGGAGTTCCCCAAGGCTCCATTCTGGGACCTCTTTTGTTTAACATTTACATGCTTCCACTGGCTCAGATTATGAAAAACAACAAAATATGTGACCATAATTATGCAGATGACACACAGATTTACATAACCATTTCACCAGGGGACTATGATCCCATACAGGCGCTGAGTAACTGTATTGAGCAGGTCAACGATTGGATGTGCCAGAATTTTCTTCAATTGAACAAAGATAAAACTGAAGTTATTGTTTTTGGAGCCAGGGAGGAACGATTGAAAGTCAGTGCTCGACTTCAATCTGTAATGTTAAGAACCACAAATCAAGCAAGAAATCTTGGTGTAGTCATGGACTCAGACCTGAATTTGAGGAGCCACATTAAGACAATTACAAAGTCAGCCTACTATCACCTGAAGAATATATCACGGATTAAAGGACTTATGTCTCAGCAAGACCTGGAAAAACTTATCCATGCATTTATCTTCAGTCTACTTGACTACTGTAACAGTGTCTTTACAGGGCTCCCTAAGAAATCCATCAGACAGCTGCAGCTGATTCAGAACGCTGCTGCTCGAGTCCTCACTAAGACCAAAAAGGTGGATCACATCACTCCAGTTCTGAGGTCTTTACATTGGCTTCCTGGCTGTCAAAGTATTGATTTCAAAATGCTGCTGTTAGTTTATAAAGCATTAAATGGTTTAGGGCCAAAATACATTTATGATCTTCTGCTTCGTTATGAACCATCCATACCTCTGAGGTCGTCTGGGGCAGGTTTGCTTTCTGTCCCCAGAGTCAAAACTAAACCAGGAGAAGCAGCGTTCAGTTATTATGCTCCGTATATTTGGAACAAACTCCCAGATAACTGCAGGTCTGCTGAAACGGTCCGTTCTTTTAAATTAAGACTGAAGACTTTTCTTTTTACCATTGCTTTTAATTAAATATTTAAGATTTTTCTTTTTACCACTGCCTTTATTCTTTTTCTTTGTTTTTAGCTTTTTACCATTGCTTTTAATTAAATATTTACACGGTGAGAAATGAGTAGGTAATTGAGTGAAAAGATAATGAGAGTGAGATTGAACAGAGTGAAGGAAGTGGTCTTAAATCTGTCGCCTGAGTGATTTCCAGGAACCTCTGTCCACCGGTAAACATGCAGGTAGGTCCAGAGTATAACTGGATCAAAGCGGCCTGCGGACAGACATGTCCTGGTTTCTCTGTAGTGTCTGAGGGTTTTTGGAGTTTCAATGGACCCAAAGATTGCTATGGACCTGAGTACAGACTAGCTAGAGAGAGTAGATTAAGTGTTCTTCTCTGTTTATTCTCTTTTCAGAATAATTGTAACTCAATTATTTGCTCAACCCCTCAGCCTGTTTTTATTTTCCATTTAACTCTATTAACCCTGATTGTACACTGCATTGTAATTTTTATTATATTTGAATGTGTATTTTTTTAATTTCCCTACGTTGCGTTTAAACTTTTTTATATTTCCCTGTTGCTTTTATGTTTTATGTAAAGCACTTTGAATTACTTTGTTGTTGAAATGTGCTATACAAATAAACTTGCCTTGCCTAAACAATTTATATTCCATATTTTTTAGTAAAGTGTTATTTGTTAATACCAGGTCAGATAAAACAAGGCTGCTAAATTGTTGCACATTCAACTTGATACAAGTCAAATATATAAAAATATAACTATCCATACATTCATGAAATAGTTTTCATTCCATTTAAAACTTCCAGTGTAGAAGATTAGGCTCCTCATTCATTTTCTGAGTGCGAACCACAGTGTACTCCATCACTATTTGACAGCAGCACCCCCTTGTGGGTAATATTAGAATAATGGTTTATAAATGTGGTCAGAGACAAAAAGACTTGTGCCTGTTCATTTTTAGTGTTTAGAGGGAAGCAGATTGTGTTCAGGGGCAGTGTTTAAGAGTACTGAGTGGCTGTCAACAAGTATTTTTACAGTTTTAACTGTCATGTGACAAGGTACTGAATCCCTACCAGGAGAAGGGACATCTCTCACACCATATTCATTTCAAATACACACACAGAGTTGTTTTGGGATGTTTGACTCCGAAGCTTTTCACTGTTTCCAGTTCTGCCGGTTAAAAGCTTTGCCAAAAATACATCTTTATGGGTGCTGCTGTATACATAAACAAGCCATATTTTTGTGCGTGTAGATTGGGAAGAAGTGCCTGCAACAGGAATTGGATGATCATTAAAATGTATGTGGATAGAGTGTGTTTGGCTTTTGCCTTGCAACATGTCTAGTTATACTGCCTCAACAATGTGCCTAACTATATTAATCTTGTCCTAATGCAGTAAGCCTACCATATGCTGGTATATAACCAGCTGTATTTGACATTGATCCACAAAGACACATTTATGTAGGCCTCCTTGAGTTGTTCTAGACTTTGACCACCTTTAAAACCTACAGCATTTACACAAGTGGTCCTTATCATTAAGAAATTTGAAAATACAGCAGGCTAGAAAATGCATCTGTTTTTCCACTTCGGAGCTTTAATGTGCAGTTATAGCTCCCATTGTGGCCTCTGTCTTGATAAAACCATCATAAATGGAGATAGTTAGATACAAATCACCTTATTCTATCAAATCAGCTGACATTATCATAAATCTTTAAAGTCGGCTTATTTCAAGACAGTGGGGAAGCGGTTTGTTTCTTAGAAATGCTACTTTACTACTGAAGTATTAACCTCACAACTCAAAACCTTTCTTTCTCCTTGGAAAACCTTCTTAGCGTCAGTATGTTTGTTATTTTCCTTGGAGCCTGGCATTACAGAGATTTAGCACTTTGGCTACCTCATGTGACTAATGGCTTCACTCCACTCTACGGTTAAATCTCAAACATCAAAAGTCTGATGTAAAATAAGTGAGTCTGGTCGAGGTCTGCAGCACTCGTGCCATCTTTTTCGTCTGCTCACGCTAACATTGCCAAACCTCACTTTTACAGTGTGGAAAAGCAAGTTCATCTGAAGCCACGTCTCCATGCTTTGACAGACAAGCTTTAATTGTTCACAATCAAGCTTATAGACATGTCCAAAGCACTGTAAAACCATGACACCAGAAAGAAACAAGCAACTGAGGACAAAGCTTTTTATGACACAGGCAGGAGTTAATCAAGGGTGTAATACGGTAAAGCATTTGTCATTATTTTGTGTTTCTTTATATATGTAAATATACAAACTTGCTGTTATAGGTTATGTTTAAAATAAAACATTTACTTTTTTGAAATAGCAGTCTTGAAACACATACCATTTGTGTCACATTTGAATCATCCATGGGGGGGAGGGGAGAGTCAAAAACAAAATCTTTCTGCTCACAAATGATTTTCCCTTTTATTTTAAAGATTTTTTTCATATACAACATTGTATTTACATGGTCTAGTATTATTTACACAAAATTAACAAGTGGCACTGTGTAGTTAGGAGTTCTTTTATTTTTTTCCTCTCTTGTTCCCTACAGGTCTTATTTTTAAAACAAAAATAAAAATGACAACAAAAAAAAAGAAAAACTGATTTTAACAATGCTTAATGTCTCCCACTTTTTTTATTTTCCCCCCAGTAGCACTACCTGTCACTCAGCCTTCTACAAAGTGCTGTCCTTTCCCAAGCCAACTAGAGCGGTTTTCATCTTTACAAAAATACAACTAACCTGAGCCCTCCCCATGTCTTGTCCCCTCCAAACTACCTTTGATCAGTACCCTAAACGCACAGACAGATCCAATTATGTGTCAACAACAAAACACTCTGAACACAGACAGCTCATTTCTGGACGTTTTGTGCAGATGGAAACTCTTGGCAGCCGTGGTTGATCAATTATTAACTTTTCACTGCAGGGCCGAAGTTTATTTTAATTTTTTGAACTCGTTATTGATGCCACTTTATTAGGAGGCCTTCAGCGTTAATTAATTTTGATTTGGTGGCAAAAGCCACTAGGGGTTGAATGGTGTTTTTGTTCTTTTGATTATAAGCACATACATGTAGGGTCTGCTATGCATCTGTAACTGTCAATAATAATAATTTTTAAAACAACTATTCAGGCAGTCGCTCAGTGGCTAGCCTCAGTTTGTCCTTCTACGGAAAACCTGATACGGCACCACTGTACCCTTGGTATTCTGCTCAGATGTGCCATTCGCCTTGAGGCCATGCAGAGCGAGTGGGATCCATGTATAATGGTCCAAAAGAGAGGCATCTGGGGAAGAACAATGAGAAGAATGGACTGTGGATGTTGCGTGGGCACGGCTGAAATGATGACGGATGTTGCCTGAGAGAAGGAGTTAAGCAGATTTTGGAAGAGGGCCGCAATTCAGGAGAGATAAAAAAGAAAAAAAAAAAATGGAGCAAAGAGGAAAGCAGGCTCTTCTTGATCCCACCTCTCCGTGTGGAACAAAGACTGATGCAGCTGTTTGAGATGAGCACGGTTTGAAATGTTTCACAGGATTCAGCCTGCTTCTAAGGACCGACTAGAACAGTTTCTCTCCAAGAAGGCTCCATATGCATTTCTTCAGAGTAAAAAAACAACAACTTCCGGGACCAGGTTGGATTAAGTTTGTGGCTTTATGGCACAACCTTCCAGTTAACGAACAAGCAGGCTTTGACCAGACAGCTAACAAAGTATGTTAGAAATGGAGAAGGGAGAGGTACAGAGAAAGATCCAGACAAATCTGACACACACACACACACACACACACACACACACACACACACACAGGTTTTTCCAGCAGAATCCATGGCGGGAGCCAATGACAGCAGGTACCAGAGCAGCCGCTAAGAAAAATCTCTCCGATTATGAAGAGACTACAACTTCATTCTATACTGCTATGTAAAGTACAATGCAGCTTAACCTGTACTTGGATAAAAAGAAAGATTGGAAAAAAACAACAAAAAAACACTCAAGTCAACAAGCAACTTGATGCTGGGTTTTGTGAATTAAAAATACAAATCATCACTTAGTCTCTTATCACTCATGAACACATCTTGGCTTAAAAACAACATGTGCCTTAAAATAAAGTACCATTTGGAAAGATTAATTTAAAAAAAAAGGAAAAGTCCTGGTTTAATGATGTGTCTGTGCTGCTTCTTTGAACGGTCAACTGTTCTCTGGCAGACAGATTTAGAAAAACAAAACAAAAAGACAAGCAAAGGTTGGTTTAAAGCCCGACTCCAGTGACCTCTGAACCCCACTGAGAAAAAAAAATTTAATGAGGGTATTTACTTGGAAAATCTAGTCTCACTGAATTTAATGCTGACCATGATCAAATGTGTATCTAGTTTGCAGGATTCAAATGTCTCGAGATTTAAAAATAAAAACTTAAAATTAAATGAGGGGAGGTCAGAGGAGGGAGCCTTTAAAGTCATGTTTTTACCATTCACACCAAGGTTGAGGTCAGTTCACTTTCAGCAAGCTCTTTTTTTTTTTGCATAAACTTTGGATCAGCTTTCAACTACTTGAGAACTAATAAATGACACTGGTGTCTGATTTGTTTTTTTGGATTCTGACATACCAACCTGTGCAAAAGCAAGCAAGACACATTTGGGGTTGATCCAAAATTTGCTATAAGTTGTCCTACTCGGGGGAAACCAATCAGGAGGGAAGCCACAGAGCGTCACATGCAGTCAGCGTCTGGCTCAAGGACACTTCACCAGGGACCCTGACGCCCACTTTGTCAGTTGCAAGTGAGCCGGAGGTTTGAGTAAAAATATTTAATTGATTGCATGTGAAATTGAAGACAGAAACGAACTGACCTCAGCCTTGTTTCTTAGCTTTATCAGCCACGACGGCTGGGAAATAGCTTAGATTGTAACTCAGTGAGGCCGTGTGTCTACTGGGGCCTCTCCTTCCAACACCGCATTCGTTTTCTCGTGTTGCCTTAATGTGCTTTTGAACATTAAGCAATGTGAGGAGAATTGGTTCTGAATCGATCTCCGCTGAAAGGTCAAAGTTTCTGTTTTTCAGCGGGAGGTCTGTAGTGATAGAGCAACAAGAGCCGCCGTGACCACACCAGAAGTGAAAGAGAGGAGCCCAGCCAACACAGGCCCTGAGGTTTGTAAACCAGTTATGTTCTTCACCGCGCCAAAACAATGGCCGCTGCAGAGCGTGCGTGTCTGTTAAGCTCAAAAACACAGCACAAAGCAGAATAAAGAATCCAACGTGCCACAGCACTGAACAAGGGGTGAGACACGAAGTGCTTTCAGCTGTCCATCTGTCAGTCTGTGCTGTCAGAAACTTAGACAAGAAAGCTAAGATAGAAACCAAGCACAATAAATTAAATCACTGTTTTTTTCCTTTCCACAAAAAAGCAAACAAATTAAAGAAATAGTTAGAAGAAGAGGAATCGCACTACTTTACTATCTAAGATTTAATCAGGAAAGCATGAAGTTCTAGATTCATACAAACATACATACACTTTTTTTGTTCAGTGGACAGGGTTTGACACAAACTAAAACACAATAAATACTCTTTCTGAGGAACAAAAGATAAGGTATATCTCTTTTATCAGCTAAAAGGACACTAAAAAAAGGCAGGTCCGTCTGGCAGACTCGCTCAGAAGGAGACAGGGCGACCCTTCATGGGGGCAGCCCTTCCCCTTCGTACTTATGGCACTACAGCAACTCCCCATCCACATTTTATTCTCTCGTACTTTTATCTTTGCATTCTTTGAATACTTTTTTCTGCATCCTGAACATACAATTTCCCCTAATGGTACCTATTCAACACAGCTGGATTTCTTTTTTTATTCTAGCTTGTCCATCATTTTCACGTTTGTTCATTTGTGTGTCTTTTTTTCCCCCATTTTTGTCAGCATAAAGTGCAACAGTGCTTTTGTTCTCTCCTCCGGCCACCTGGCCTCCTCCTGGTGACCCCTGATGACCCCCGGAGGTCAAATGTCACGGGTTAGCGGGATCAGAGTCAGGGTTCACGCTGGTCTCGCTGTTCACGCTGGTGGCGCTCGCGACGCTCGGCTCCTCCACTTCCTCCTCCTCTTCGTCCTCTTCCGTCACTTCTCCCACATCCAGCACTTCAACCTCTTCGTCGTCGTCGTCCTCGTCGTCCAGACCTCCTTCCAGCAACTCCACCACAGCCGCCTCCCCTTCCTCCGCCACTGTCGTTTCTTCTCCCTCTCCTGCCTTCTGCTGCTCTTTCTTCTCCTCCTCCCTCTCTTCGTCCACCTTTCCTCTCTGCTGGTAGATGGCGGTCTTGAGTGGTTTGACCAGGCCCTCCTCGTAGACTCTCAGGATGGCCTCACATACAAAGCGATACTGGCTCTGATAAGAGAGATAAAGAGGAGATATTTTAGCTGATGGTTTACAGTGGCTGGGAGCAGCTGGACAGACAAACCCATGTGTCTACATACAGGTGTTTGTATCATCATGGCCCTCTGGTCTCTCATGGTCCTGACGATATCTAGAGGATACACTGGCTGACCACACTCCATTAGACACAGTGCCGTCTCCATGGTGATAAGGACCCCTGTCCGACCAATCCCCGCGCTGGAAAAAAAAGACGACAGAAAACGAGAGTTGGGATGAGTTCACTTATGTCAGTCGATCAACATTATGGGTACGCCGCAGTCAAACAGTCCAAAGAAAGAACAACTGTACCTGCAGTGTACCACCATCGGGTGGTCCTGTCCAGCCCGTTTTGTCCGTACCAGAGCCACAAAGTCCAGGAAATCAGTGGAGTCATCAGGAACGCCGTGGTCTGGCCAAGCCAGGTACTGAATCTGGGTAAGCTCTCGCTGCTGCTCACTCTGAACACACACACACACACACACACACACACACACACACACAGAGCGAAAGGGAAAATGATTTTATATTATTATTATTTCCATGTATTGCTTTTCTTTATTATTTGAGGCCTTGGATACAAACTGAGGGCGTTTGCTCTGACACCAGTCAAGTAATGAATATTTCTCTCACACCATATCACTCACACTCAGAACTCAAAACGGGTTATTGTATTTCATGTGGGCGACCTCCTAGCGTGCTTCATTGAGCTCTGGGGTCCTAGGGGGAAACTGCACAGCACCATGTTTGTGTAATTATGGCCTTTAAATGTGTTGTGAAACGATTAGTGTGAAAAGTGGCTTTATTTTTGTTCCCACTGCGCTGGACCACTCGGTGATTCATGTTGTTCTTTCCCGTTTTATCAAAACGCCAAACAGCGAGGACAATATTTTCTGCAGCTCTACTCCAAAATGTACATTTGACGTTGCTGCAATCAAACTATAAAAACTTGTTATTTTGTTCACTCAAAATTGAAAAGAAAAACGACAGACTGCAGCAAAGTAATCAGAAGATAAATGTCAGAGAGATTTAAAACCAACAGGGGCACAATGACACAGAACCTACAGCAGATAACTACTGACCACCGTATCATGTGCGTCTCAGAGCCCGCGCTCCTCTTTAATACTACCCTGCTGCATCGTCATGGCAACACATCTATCTCCATAGCAACAATCACAGGCAGAGGGGAATACTAATTGCCTCCTCCTACAGCCAAATATCTTAAAGGCTGTGATACATGGGCAACACACAGGAAAGTTATCAGGAACACGGACAGCATGAAAAGACGAGGAAAGAGCAGGAACATTTCAGCCTCCATTCAAAGTTTTCAACTGCATCTTGTCCTCAGTACCGGCATGGATGGTAGATGACATTTTTTAGTATTACAGCAAAAACCCAAGACATCATTTTGCATTTAAAAACACATAAAAGCCTACAATTTTGAGGGAACAACATACATTTCTCCATTTTCTGTTCTTCAAACTACCATCGTCCCACTCTCTGTTCGGCAATGTGACTGACTGGGGTGGCTGGGTTGTCATGGTAACCAGATCCCAATACGTGGCCCGCATGCAGCAGCGGGAGCCAGAAAAAGAACAGCCCACACTGGTCACTATGGCAACACACCTCCTCGGGGCCCTCTGCGGCTCATCCTTCCTGAGACGCTGGTCCCCTCCCTTCGATTGGACCCAGCGTCTCCCTGTGTGTTGCCTTCAGCCCTTGCTCTGGTTCTCAGCACACACCCTCTCACTTTCTCCTCCTTTCTGGCAAACCTTCACTCTCCTGTTCCTCCGCTTTGCTCCCAATTTCCCTTCCCACTCTTTCGAGAGTGTGTGTGTGTGTGTGTGTGTGTGTGTGTGTGTGTGTGTGTGTGTGGTTACCGGTGTGTGCATGAGTGTCATCTCCCGGACCAGGAAGGCAGAGTTGCCCTCTTCATTGTGGCACGTTACTGTAAAGTCTCCGTAGGTGGCGCTGCTGTCTGGATTGGGCCAGTACTGGTGACACTTGACCTAAAAACACAGGAAAGGTTTTGTGTTTACAACTGAACATTTATTTCACTTAACTGTTACAACAATTGCCAGCACAGCGCTGGGGATTAGGCTCTGCTACAGAATAGCATCTCTTAACTCTGAACGACGACTCATCGATTAAATCTATTCATAAAATGCTTCGTTTAATCCATGTAACTTTACAGCACAGTGTTTCGCAGGGACATTTATTACTGTTGCACATCGCGCTTACGCTGTGAACACGACGTGATTATGATGCCGCTGTTTGCAAAGTGGAGGAAGAGAGAGAAAATAGCGAGGGACAAAGAAGAAAGTGTCCAAAGTATGGGATTATTTCAAGCTAAAGAAAACAACAACTCTGTAATGTTACCGTCCGTCCACAGTAAAACAAAACTTATGCCGCCTTGGCAACAGCACGACGGCGCCTTATCAGAAAGCAGCCGGTGTTCTGCCAGCGGACCACAGACAAGGTAACAGCAACAGCAACTTTAGCAATTAACTGAAATCATGATTGATTGTTCAGTTGAAAGCTAGCCGAAGTAAGCTGCAGTCCTCAGCTGAAAACGTCCCCCCGTGCGTTTGTTGTTCTCCTTTTTGGGCCGTGAGTTGTAACCTCACAGTCAGGAGTTAACTGGGTGTCGGGGAGCTGCACCTTTTAACTCTCCTCCAGCTCTCTCTGTAGCTCAGACAATCCCTGCTACCTGCGTGTGCTAATCCATCCTTTCACCCAGATTCTTTGTCTTCGCCATCTTTAAAATAACAAACAAGCTGTTTCGTGTGCAGGATCGCTCATTTCCTGTTTCACATTTCACGTGTGTTTTCTTGACAAAACGTGGTTTGGTGACCCCCTGTCACCCCCTGGCGCCGCCGCCAAGCAAAAGTAATTCTTAAACGACGCATCGATGAATCGTTGAAGCTTCGAATACTAAAATCATCGTTAGCTGCAGCCCTACTCTGAAGTTCATTGCTATTATGATTAATACACAAATATAAAGTACATTCAGTCCATCTGAAATCATTAAAAACCTCTAAATTTTCCTTTCCTTTTTTCAACTAAACACTTTCTAATTTCAAGAGAGATTAGATGTTTTTATGAAAATTCACACCTAGTTTGATGATGAAGGGATCTTAGACATTGTTTTCAGAGTAGCACAACTCTCATTTTGTGTATTAAATGAATAGTGCTCAAATTGACAAAATACACAATTTGCAGAAAACTTTTTAGCAATTAAAAGTATCTCACCTAGATATGCACAGCCATTATTTTGGCACTAAACAGGCAAACCTGGGTTTTATCAGGCAAGCTAAATTCAAAGCGATGCAGCACTGTCTTCAAGTTTGAGTGTTGTTTCATCCAGCATTGCCACATGTACAGTAAACGTTTCTGAACACCTATATTTTGCACATTATGTATGTAGATCCAGTTCCTTGTCTTTGAAAAATTCTTCTACATACCCGCCCCCTCTCGACCTGCGTAGTCAGCATGACCACCATGGATGAGCCCTGCTCCCATGTCATTTGCCAGAAGTCAGGGCAGGTGTTGGGCAGGGGGCCCTGGCATGCTATGTAGCGGTTTATCAGACTGGAGGCGGGAATCTCCATCTACAGTGGGAGAGACAAAAGATTAAAACACAGAGATATTAGGTTGCAAGGATCTCACTTTACAGCTTCTTTTTGTTATTATTTGCAATTGAAAAGGTATGCTTTGCTTAATGTTCTCAGTTTACGCAAAAAAAACCCCCAAAAAATACTTCATCTTTGGCCAAAAAATCAAATCAAGCTCCTTTCAGACATGCCCTTTCATACTTAAACACGCTGGCAAATGAACAGCGGTTGGTCTCCTGTTTGAATAAGCCTCTGAGTCACTTACAAGGTCAGACCTAGTGAGATTATAGTAAAACATTCAAGTCTGACTCAAGTATGGCATCACAAAAAGGGCAATGTTACAGCAGAACAGGTTAAATAAACAAAGACATATTAATGTCTCGTCTTGTTCCAACTTCTTAAGAGCACTGCTGGAAATTTCTGTTTTAATTATAATTTTAATTATTAAAAATAAAGGAAAATCAGCGGATTTTAGGTTCTCGGGGGAATTCTTCTGGTGACAGATCGGTCAAATAATCGCATTTTCGCAGAGATGTTGATGGAAATGAGGAGGAACAAACTCACATTGATGTAATTTGCATTGATGTAGTCATCTGTGCTTTTAAGAATGACCCGCGTGGCATCATCTGCAGAGGGAGAGTTAAGACAAGGGGGGGTAAGTTTACACACAGAGAAAGCTGATAGAGAAAGAGAGAGTACAACTGACAAGAGGAAGAAAGAAAAAGAACGTGTGCAGAAGAGAGAGAGTGTGATGGACAGAACAAAAGACACAACAAACACACAAGCAAGCAGAAAACAGACAACCGTGTGCAGTCACGTACAAGGAGAGATGTCTCTGTAGCGATTTTTGGAAACGTTCTGAGGTAATTTGGCACACAGCATGGTCATTCCCGGCCTCTTCCTGTACAGTTGCTGTAAGAAAAGGAACACACATTTATATTAAAGTTGATGTAACAGGAATCTGTAGTCTCCCTGAGTTTGAATGTATGAATATACTTAACAAACACACTCGAAACTCAAAGTATTGTTGTGTGCAAGATCGCTTTTGTGCAATGACTTGTTGTGCATTCATTCATGTGTCTATGGTGTTTGTATTTAACATTCCTGCTCAATGAAAGCACAACACACAGCTTAAACAGGAAGCAGTTGGGTGATTACGATCAAGGACAGGAAGTTTTAGGAATCTGCAGACGGACAGGCATGTGTAAAATTAACCTGTCAATCAATCAAAAACTTCCTGTGTATGTCTGTATGAGCGTAAATGCACAGTGTCTGTTCATGTGCGTATTCATTACTGTGTCTTTCTTCTTACATCAAACTGTGCCAGTATGGCTCCACTGCTCAGGCCTTCCTTCAGTGTGACCATGGAGTCCCTCAAAGCATGCTGGTCTAGCTGAGCAGGGTCCTGAGGGGACTTCTCGGGGATGTACTGAAAATCTGGCTCCGAGTCCACCTTCTCCTCCACAACGTCATAAATGGCTGGGAAGAAACATGCCCCAGTTTATATATATGCACACAGCTGTTTATGTAGACTGAGGCCAGGGGAAGTTGATTATAGACTTTAAGATGAATCAAGAAAAAAACATCCATCCAGGGTAAAGAAAAATCCCCACAGGAATCCATAGTTAATCTATGTGCAAATATTTATATACAGAAATGTTGTAACAGATCAAATCAAATTTTTATTTATTTTTATTCATTTTAGCTGACGCTTATAACCAAAGTGACTTACATTTGCTATATATGTCAGAGACTGCACGCCTCTGGAGCAACTGGGGGGTTAAGTGTCTTGCTCAAGGACACATTGGTGTCTCACAGTGGATTTGAACCCGGGTCTCTCACACCAAAGGCATGTGTTTTATCCACTGTGCCATCATCAACCCATGTGAATTGACAGGCATTCAATACATTGATGCAATCTTATATCTGCTCTGATGTAAGAGAGGAAAAAATGAATAAATCCCTCTTTGACCCCTTTAAAATACCAAGAATTTCCATGTCTCATCATCTTTGAAAGCTCCCCTCTCACTTTGCTGACCCTGATGAAAGGGAATGTTTTGCCAGCTTTTACATGGTGAATACACATATAGCTAAAATGTACAGAAAGCAAAATGTACAGCGTTCATAGATCTCCTTTAGAATTAGAAAAATCAGACTGAGCAGTCCAGAAAAGACCAGAGGAAGAATCAAAACTGGCGACCAGATGTGTAGCTGTTAATCTTCAGGAGTGGGCTGCCCCAGCTGCCCATGTGTTACACTTTGTCTAGTTATGACTACAAAGGGAGGATTCACACGTCAAACTAAAAACAGGTTGCACCACACAAAGCAGAGATTAGTTGTACTAGATATTTACATGCAGTAACTGCAACTGACTGAACCAACTGAAGAAAACAGCTTGATAATATGTGACCTGATATAAGACAGAGCTCCACACTTGGGTCAATGATGAAAACTGAGCTATCTCCACGACAACAGAGCAAACTATCCGCTGAGGAAGACTGTGTAAATGTGTTTTATTTATAAATTGTATGAAGAGTACAGAGTACATCTGCAATATGGTCAACATCTCATCTGACACTTTCAACTATGTTTAATAATGATGGTAACGTTCCAGTATTTATAGTATGCAGGCTCCACTTTCCAACTATGACAAGTACCAACAACAACCTTAAGTAATTACCGGGAATTTTAACTAGATTTTGCCCAATATTAAAATTTAAAAAAGGACAAAAAAATAAATAAATAATCTACAAGCCAAACAAAAAATTACACAATAAATAGTCATACTTTAGGATATTTAGGATTGCCAGATACATTTCATATATCACCTTGCCCCCTAAATCTGTTAATTACGGTAGTTATGTTACAGCTTGTGATGCTACGGTGACTTCCTGTTTATACTGTTGATTGCTTTTGATTGGACAGCGCCAGAGATTTTTCCTAGAAAACAATTCTTTGGCAGCCAAGACGTTCTTTTGCATCCCCAATTAGTAATTTACTAGTTTGAAACTAGCTAGTAGTAACTAGTTAGGCAATTAAGAAGAACTTTATGAACAAACTTAGTAGAGGGTTGCTAGTAAATGGGTGACACGTGTGCTTAGCTCTGCAGTTCTTGACACCTGACAGTGACTGTTGTACTAGTCTGTGTCTCTGTGTAATCTTTTTTAGAAACTGTGATTCAGCACTGTAGCATTGTGTTGAATTAAACTGTACATTTCCCCCCCGCCCCAACCGTCTCTTGTATTTGTCAAAGGTAAAAGTAGAGCAGACGCAGTAGATTCAACTCACCGTTTGGTCTGACCAATAGAATGAGCTCCCCAGAGTGGCTCTCACAGCTGGCTTTGATGAACATGACCACCTGGTCATGGGTGTGGTCAGAGATGTCCCGTCCATTAATCAGGACCACCTGGTCGCCCTCGTTAAGGCGAGGCACACACAGGTCGGCCTGAAGAGGGAGAGGACAATGGAAGACATGAGAGAAAGAGAGAACGGACAAATGTAGACACAATGAGAAAGGTGTTCTGAAACTTCGATATGTTGGCAGCATGTTTAGTTTAATCAAATGTTTCTGACAGGGCAGAAAATGTCTTTAGAAATGAAAATGCTAAATAGAGGGTACTTGAGAAGCTGCATTTGGATTAATATTTAAACTCAGCAGAGGTGAAAGAAAATATAGCAGTAGTCCTTGTCAGACTATACAGGGGTGGTTGTTGACTTACTGATGTTCCCGGAGCCACTCGAGACACAATGATGGGCATCTTCTGGTCAGCTCCACCCTGGAGATACACAGACACAAATGTAGGCATGCTTTGCACCAATGTCCTTTCTTTTTAGGGAAGAGTTAACATTTTGGAAATGGGACTGGTCATGATGCATACAAGGCTACTTTTCACTTCTTGCCATAAAAAAAAAAGAGAGAAAATTAAGAAAAGATTAATGAAGAGATAAGAACAGGCTTTTCCTATCTAGTCCCAAACTAGTATAAGCTCTCACCTTGACATTGAAGCCGAAGCGTCCGTGTTCGTCAGGTCGCATCTTGATCAGGACCAGATTATCATGAGGGACAACTCCATTTAGCTGCATGAGCAAAGTTGGACACACATACATCAAATTCACATTCTGTTATCTTCCATTTCAACGTCCTCGGGGGTACAAGAATATGGGCTAGGCACTGTGCAATATTACTTGCTTGATAAAGAGGGGGGAAAAAACAAACATGTAACCCAATCTACTGATGCATTATGTGTAAATTTGCCCTTGACTGGAATGCCAACTCCCCATCCTCGAAGTAGGATCAATATTTAAAGTGTGAAAAATAAATTTCTGGCCACTAGGGGGAAGGAAAATGCATCAAAACAAGCTGACAGAGAAAGCACAGACAATAAAACAATTGCCTACTTTAAATTCAATAGACACAAGCCAACCCATCTCAGCTATGTTCACCAGCCCTGCACCAACTCTGTCTTTCGTTTGATGCTGGGCAGGTAACAATTAGATTAAATCACAACAATAAGCAAAAAGAGGGGGGAAAAGGTTTGAGACACTAGAGAATCACCACATTTATTCATTTTTATAAGGAACACTTATTTTAAATTACACAATGTGATTTTGTCAAACATTTTGTAACCTTACTTGAGCATCGTACTAAATCGCAAGACACATCTTACAGATTACTGGGATGAAAGTTTGTGTAGCTGCTAACAGTCTAGCAGGAACACTGTATAGTTGCTATGGTAACACTGTTGAGCTTAAATAAATACTTTATGCATTGTGAGAGTCCAAAATCAGCATTTATATTTTTTATTTTTTTTATTGCGAGAAGTAGTCACTGAAGACACTTTAGATTTAATTTATTTTCATTGAAGCATCCTTACCACTGAGGTGAATGTTTTATTTTAAATGTTTTATGCAACTGGGCAACGTACTATCCTTTTCAACATGTAATGAGGTTACTGTATTGTGTTGCCGTACTGACCGTGGTCTTATCAGCATTGACGGGAACATCGTACATCTCGTTGAGGTGGTTGTCCAGGAGGCTCTGCTGGGAGTGGGCCTGGATGATCTGGCTCAAGGTCTTCCTGCTCAGCTGTTTGGGGGGCAGAGCTGGAGGTTGGCCGTCAAGCCCCTCTGGAGACCTGAGGGGGGGTCAGAAATACAGATATCTGATTATTGTTGACAGTTTTTAAGTATTTTCCCCAAGCAATCTGATTGAGCAAAGACACACTCCAGCTTCATACTTACAATCCAGTAAAGAACAAAACTTTACTTCATTACGAGTGTAAATAATTACAAAATTAATCTCTTAAATCGATGTTTAGCAGCATAACTGCTGACTAAACAAGGGTAACAGACTGGCCTTTTGGGGTACCAAAGGCACGAACTTACAGCAAAAGACATAAGCAATGGTCTAGCTGAAGACTGTCCCGTTAGTTAAAGAGGTGAGAGGTAAAAAAAAAAAAAAAAGACACAGATGGAGAAAAACAGATACAAGAGACTGGGAGAGAAAGACATTGCAAGAGACAGAGAGGCTTAATAGCACTGTGTTGGTCACAATACATTAACCACAATAAAAGGTAAGAGGAAGGAACCCCCCCACCCCCCTCTCTATCAGCCACACAATAAAAGACAGTCAGTGTTTGTGATGGAACAACATTGTCAGTCAGGTAAGGCTTTCAGCAGCATCATGGCGCACTCTTTCCTTCTCAAATGTTTTGACTGGAAGCAAATCCTTATTGTCTTCTATAGCGTGAAAGTTGACAGAGGACAGAACTAAATGAGTGAGAACAGTGACAGAAGAATCACATGCGGGTACATGAGAAGACCAAGTCTAAAACAAGCTGCTATAATGAACCACAGTGCATTCAGAACCACTAACAGATACATTTAAAATACTTTCAGTGCACACCCAAGAGTTTTTTCAAAACAAAATTATTTTCCAAAGCCAGTCTGTAGCCTTTCTGTAAAGAAACGGGTCTGATTATAGCCTACAAAGTAATCATCATAACACACCATATAGTTGCATGCAATGTTGTGTTACGGTATATTGTATAGCTGTTCCCCGACACCGTCAAAGAACTGCATGTTAAAAAACATCACTGAAATGTACCGCGGTTAGCTAAACAGAAGATTTTCACTCTACACAACTAAAAAAAGAAAGTTATAGAAAGTGCTCAAGGGTTGTGGCTTTGTTGTATTGCTTATGTGTGGAACTGACACAGCGTATAACTGTGGCCTGTGGGAGAGAAAGCAGACTCTAATTTAGTTTTTATTGGAGGAAAATCTTGGGAGGAAAATGTGGATTTTGGGTCAGAGCAAAGTGATGGACCTGAAGATATTTAAATAGGTGTGAGTCATACCAGTTAAGATTGCAAATATTCAGTCATCATAGACTTTAAAGGTTAGGGCTTCTCACCAAAGAGAAATAATTTATGCAAAATAAACTCGGTCGCTGAAATAGATTGGTCTGCCATAGGGTGTCCAAATGCTCTATTTAGAGCAAATAACTCCAGCAAAATATGTCTCCTCATGCCACGAACGGAGGACAACCAGTGGAATCTCAGAATAGACTCAGATATAATGATTGTTCTGAAATGTTTTCAAATTATTATTTTCATTGTCAGTTTAATTGTACTCTTCCTAACATTATGGCAAACAGTTTTTCTGTTTTAAGCTGAATGAAATTCTGAGCTAATAAATATATTATTATAAATTAAATATAGAAATGTAAAATTAAGTATCGAAAGGATAATGACTACCATGATGGACAAACTACATAAAGCTAATAAACTCTTATGCATGGATAATGTGTGTGCTGTCTGAGGAAGAGAGAGCAGGTGATTATGTCATCTTTTGGCTGCATAACAGAGTGATGAGCCAATAACTTGGCGTGTGTGTGCAGCTTTGTAGGCAGCGGAACTACCACTGTAATGTTACTTAACCACTTTGATTTCCAACTGAGAAATGTTCCATCCTACCACCTCTCTCTCTCTCACACACACAAACACTCTCCTACTGTGTCAACAGAAAAAACATGCCATATCTACAATGCATCTTGTGACTCATTCGAATTACTGACATTCAAACACAAACTGGTCCAGGCCAAAAGCACATATGAATGCCTCTTACACTTGTAGCTCATTTCCAGCTCAACATACAGGTGCCGGTCATATAATTAGAATATCATCAAAAGTTGATTTATTTCAGTAATTCCATTCAAAAAGTGAAACTTGGATATTATATTCATTCATTACAAACAGACTGACATATTTCAAATGTTTATTTCGTTTAATTGTGATGATTAAAACTGACAACTAATGAAAATCCCAAATTCAGGATCTCCGAAAATTAGAATATAAGACCAATACAAAAAAAGGATTTTTAGAAATGTTGGCCAACTGAAAAGTATGAACATGAAAAGTATGAGCATGTACAGCACTCAATACTTAGTTGGGGCTCCTTTTGCCTGAATTACTGCAGCAATGCGGCGTGGCATGGAGTCCATCAGTCTGTGGCACTGCTCAGGTGTTATGAGAGCCCAGGTTGCTCTGATAGTGGCCTTCAGCTCTTCTGCATTGTTGGGTCTGGCGTATCGCATCTTCCTCTTCACAATACCCCATAGATTTTCTATAGGGTTAAGGTCAGGCCAGTTTGCTGGCCAATTAAGAACAGGGATACCATGGTCCTTAAACCAGGTACTGGTAGCTTTGGCACTGTGTGCAGGTGCCAAGTCCTGTTGGAAAATGAAATCTGCATCTCCATAAAGTTGGTCAGCAGCAGGAAGCATGAAGTGCTCTAAAACTTCCTGGTAGACGGCTGCGTTGACCTTGGACCTCAGAAAACACAGTGGACCAACACCAGCAGATGACATGGCACCCCAAACCATCACTGACTGTGGAAACTTTACACTGGACTTCAAGCAATGTGGATTCTGTGCCTCTCCTCTCTTCCTCCAGACTCTGGGACCTGATTTCCAAAGGAAATGCAAAATTTACTTTCATCAGAGAACATAACTTTGGACCACTCAGCAGCAGTCCAGTCCTTTTTGTCTTCAGCCCAGGCGAGATGCTTCTGACGCTGTGTCTTGTTCAAGAGTGGCTTGACACAAGGAATGCGACAGCTGAAACCCATGTCTTGCATACGTCTGTGCGTGGTGGTTCTTGAAGCACTGACTCCAGCTGCAGTCCACTCTTTGTGAATCTCCCCCACATTTTTGAATGGGTTTTGTTTCACAATCCTCTCCAGGGTGCGTTATCCCTATTGCTTGTACACTTTTTCTACCACATCTTTTCCTTCCCTTCGCCTCTATTAATGTGCTTGGACACAGAGCTCTGTGAACAGCCAGCCTCTTTAGCAATGACCTTTTGTGTCTTGCCCTCCTTGTGCAAGGTGTCATGGTCGTCTTTTGGACAGCTGTCAAGTCAGCAGTCTTCCCCATGATTGTGTAGCCTACAGAACTAGACTGAGAGATCATTTGAAGGCCTTTGCAGGTGTTTTGAGTTAATTGGCTGATTAGAGTGTAGCACCAGGTGTCTTCAATATAGAACCTTTTGACAATGTTCAAATTTTCTGAGATACTGATTTTGGGGTTTTCATTAGTTGTCAGTTATAATCATCAAAATTAAAAGGAATGAACACTGGAAATATATCGGTCTGTGTGGAATGAATATACATTATACAAGTTTCACTTTTTGAATGGAATTACTGAAATAAATCGACTTTTTGATGATATTCTAATTATATGACCAGCACCTGTATAAAAATGGTCCTACTTGACACTCAAACATAACATGATATCTTATCTATTTTTTTTCTATTCGGAACAACAGAATAATGCTGTTAGATTTCGATAAACCTGTAAAAAAGTTGCGACTAAACAATATTAGATTACCGTGCTAGCTCGGAGAAAGGCTCACACGGTGTCAATCGAGCGTGGCTGAGTGAGTGAGCAGCTTAGCAAGAGAGCAAACGACTGGTTTGCAATTTAACCCAGTCTTCGCTAAGTATTTCTAACCTCACATTCCACAAGGTTTGTGATCAATTTGCTAACAAAGACCAAAGTCGTGAAGGCCATGCCACAATATTCTGAGACAATATTTGTAACAAAGAGGATTAGAAGGCATTGTAGACGAGTACTGACGTTTACTGAAAGAGAGATTCCAGTGTTTTCAGAATCAATTATGAACAGCCTTTTACTCACAGGCTTCCAGGCCTTGAAACAGAAATGTGGAACTTTATTACACTACTTAAAGGGATTCACCAGATATTTTATAGTGTGTGAGCACATTTAGAACATGCAGAAAACACACACGCGCACACACACACACACTAATCCTTAGTTCAGCCAAGTACAAACTCTCCGCCCTGCTACCCGCTATAAACACATTTTACAAGCGGTTTTTCAAAGGGTTCATCTTTTCAATGGGGCCAGCTAAGTGACACTGGGAGAGGGTGTGAACTGTTGGGAGAAGCCACAGTCACAGACAGACATTTAAAAACCAGTCAACTCAGCAGTACAGTCAGACAGAGTGGCACTAACACCGATGAGTAAAATTAAACTTCAAAATGAAAGGGTGGCTGTTTTTTCTTTTTTTTTTGTTGGGGGGGGGGGGTTGCTTTATTTATGCGGTAGTTGACTTACAGTGAAATCTATTTCCCTGCCACCAAGTCAGTTGATGTTTTTTCTCCCCCAAAGAGAAACAGCTTTAAAGAAAGTGGGCGGGTGTGTGTGTGCATCAAAAACAAGAATACAGAGGAAGAAAGGAAAGGACGCGGCGCACACGGAAAATGAGAACAATACAATTTTCCGCTGACGGTCATAATTCCATCATGCGCCCAAGCAAGGGCGAGACTTACGGTGTGGAGTCCAAGCTGATGCTGTTGGCCTGCGTGGACGACGCCGACTTGTGATTGGAGGAGAAGACAGGCAGGCTGGGTGAAGCGTGGATCACATGATCGACCAGGTGGCCAACAGACGATGGGCGTAGTCGTGTGCCCTCTTGTACAAACAGCGAATTCCTGACAAGACACATACTGTTCAAGGGCGGGGAATACAACTTGATACTGACTAAAATGTGCTGCTGCTGTGGGTATCAAATACTGACATACCCAAATAATGCTGGCATCCAACGTATGCTCAGAACCACACTCTTATTTACTAATTATTAAATCAATAATAAATCACAATTTTAGACAGCAGCAAATTTTTCAGAACAGGTTTCCTGATCACAGAAAGCAGACTGACTAAACGTAGAACAAACATTTTTCACATGTGGCCCTAATCCTCTTCCGTACTACAGAGACTTACCCATTAAAAGATTTGTATTTTTTCTAGGGACATTAATTAAAAAATACTGAATTATAGTTGCTTTAAAACTTATCTGTCTTCCCTTTTAACTGAATGAATTCAACACATGAGAAGAAAGTAATTTTAAATATTCCTCATCATGTTGAATGTGATTACATTAAATGTCCACTGCCATAATTGTCTGAAATGAAGCTGAAGTGGACCCCAACCTGGTATGAACCCTGAAACTTGGACTCACTGATTGGGCGTCCCAGGCGGTGAGCGAGTGGGCAGGCTCTGGGTCTCCAGTCTCTCATCTGATAGGCTGTTCCTGCTGACCGACTCCCAGTCAGTTCCACCCAGCAACTTCCTGGCCAATGGCTTACTGGGAGATCTGCAAAGACCAAGATATTAAAGCCGCCTTTCGTCCCCGGATCTCTTTTCAAGGAACTAAAAGGTTCCTTCAGCCCATTGTTATGTGTGTTTCCACCGTGGTCTAAAGACTGGTGAAGATTAGGCAAATTAACCAGCTGATGTAAGCCTATACTGTGTATAAAGCGATGGGCTGGTATCATTATTTAGTAACCACTATCCATGAGAAAAATGTATAAATAAACATCAGAAGTTATTGGAATATAATGAAAAACTATAGGCTTTGCTTGACCATTAAAAACAGCTTTTTTTGTGTGGATAATGAAGAGACACTTGATAAATTGTTACAAATTTAATAACAAACTGGATAAAGCCAACAAGTTCTTAAAATAACTCCAGCACAGAGGAAGAAACTAAAATATTGGAAGGTTATTAAAACATTTCCAGCCAACAAGAGCTGCAGATCAGCTGGCAGCATCACATCTATGTCGCCTGAGCGTCGGAAGAACGGGACTTTTAACGAATTTATTACCTGCTGTAATCAGCTGTTCTTGTTTTGGAGATGAAAAGACCGACTTCGGCTCTGTGTAAAAACTTCCTTACTGATGAAAACTCTGGACCCAGTATTTAGCGTAACTCCATCAGCTGTTCGCTGTAAACACACCGCTGCACGCTAGCTGCTATTTCTGAGCAACACATTAAATGCCGACATACAATCTCAGGCGGATGTCGGCGAGACTTGTGTGGCTATCTGACTGTTGATTGTGATTTATTGGTGGTAAAGAGAAGAGAATTGTACCCCCCCTCAAAGTACCGGTACTTTCGGAAAGTACTACCCCCCGAGCAGGGACTTTTGGGGGGTAAAATAAAGACCCTCGAACTAAATTTAGACCCTCGTCCCTTCGGTGGAAACGCAGTGAGTTCCTCCAAAGGTTCCTAGTTCCAGGGTATAGAGTTCCTGTGGTCGAAACGCAGCTTAATTCAGTTGTGGCCAGAATAAAAACAATAGTAATAATAAATTAAAGTTGTGTGTATGTAGTGTTTATCTACCTTTACAGGATGGGAATGGCTACATCAAACTAACCAAGAAAGACATGAAAGATATGTCGATTACCTGGCAAAAACTCTGTCCTTGATGCCTTTCTCCTTTCCATACTGCACAGACTGCACCTCCGTCCGCCCGCTAGGGACAGAAACAACAAAAACAATGGACTCTTAGAAAATAAAACTTTAACAGAAGTGAAACAGGATGAAAATCTTCAACTCTTAGGTTTAGCAAGGTTTCAAAAACTGATTTTTTAACTAAAAGTTTACTTTTAGTTGACCTATCTGACCTTAAGATATGTAGTGAGATATTGTTTTCACACTACAGGAATATACAGTTTTGTTCTTCAATAAGAAGAGATACTTAGGTGGCTTCAGTCTCTCAAATCCTCTAGAAAAATCCAGCCTTCAAGTCAACTGTATCTTTGTCTACGTGAGGTGCAAATTCCTTGTATGTGTAAAAACTACTTGGCAATAAAGCATTTTCTGATTCTGATTCAAATGAACAAATCAGGCCAAATAAAACCAGCGTTAAGAGCATAGCCTGCCAGCCAGTAACAAGTTCAAAACAACAATATGGTTATTTTACCATGCAATACACTGTTAATAACATGTTAACAACACAAATCCGCAATTCAAAATTGTTGTATTGGAAAGTCAGTCAATAAGGACGAAAACACAGCCAGACACACAGCATCAGCCTAACATTTGAGCAAGGTTCGCTTGCGTTGCATCAGTGCTGCTCAATAATGCATCACAAGACCTCCAGCTCTTAGGTCATCTCTCACTCCAAATTCATAGAAAAAGGAGACAAAAGAGCTGTAGCTAAGGTGTCATTGAATTGATTTTATTTCGATTTCTTTGTCCTCTTTCCAACTTTAAATATGAAAAATTTACAGTAGTCTTAGTAGTAGAAGTCTTTTCTTTGCAAGGCCAAACACAAACAAAAAGTTACTTTTTCCTCTTTTGTTGAGGAAAACCCTGAATAATTGAGTTGTGGATTTCTGGAGAAATGTGGCATGAAAGGCACACACTAGCCTTCCAGTGTTTCAGCCTCTCATACAAAAAGAAACAACTGCATCATGTATTTCTGCTGATGTTTCCCTGAAATGGGACTACTGCTGAGAGGCAGGCAGAAAGAAATACAGACAAAGCATCCACAAGTCTGCTCAAAGTATGTGTGTGTGTTTGTGTCTGTATTGGAGTGTGTACATGTTGTGGATGGGTCAACATTTTCAAATAGTCCTTAAATTGTAAAAGAAATTGAGGCATCTTCCAAGAATGGTTGAATAGTTCGAATATTATTTAAGCTCAAATCAAAGTCTGTCCATCAAGGCAGGACTTTCCAGAGATTCTCTGTCTATTTCCTCCCACTCTGGGAGTGTATATAAAGTGTGTGTGTGTGCTCTTGTTCTTACCAGTATCTAAACTTTGAGCCCAGGGTAAAATAGTGAGCGAAGAAGTTCTTCTGTGGTGGGATGGGCCGCTCCAGCCTGAAGAAGGTGTGGTGTTCTACACAGGCCTTCCACAGGTTTTTACAGGCCCGATAGTTCACCATGTTGAAACCCAGTAGCGTCTCCCGGGTCTCAGTCTGTGTGCAAGGAGGAGAAGACAACAGTTAGTGGGCCACTGAATAACACTTCGGCCGTAAGTACCCATCTATCTAAATTTAACAGTAATGCAAGTAAAGTGTGTTTCAACTACACTGAACAAAATTTATAAACGCAACACTTTTGTTTTTGCCCCCATTCATCATGAGCTGAACTCAAAGATCAAAGACTTTCTTTATGTACACAAAAGGCCTATTTCTGTCAAATATGGTTCACAAATCTGTCAAAATCTGTGTTAGTGAGCACTTCTCCTTTACAGAGATAATCCATCCACATCACAGGTGTGGCATATCAAGATGCTGATCAGACAGCATGGGTATTGCACAGGTGTGCCTTAGGCTGGCCACAATAAAAGGCCAGGGTCCGGAAACCAGTCAGTATCAGGTGTGACCACCATTTGCCTCACGCAGTGCAACACATCTTCTTTGCATAGAGTTGATCAGGTTGTTGATTGTGGCCTGTGGAACGTTGGTCCACTCTTCAATGGCTGTTCAAAGTTGCTGGATATGGGCAGGACCTGGAACACGCTGTCGTACACGCCGATCCAGAGCATCCCAAACATGCTCAATGGGTGACATGTCCGGTGAGTATGCTGGCCCTGCAAGAACTGGGATGTTTTCAGCTTCCAGGAATTGTGCACAGATCTTTGCAACATGGGGCCTGTGCATAATCATGCTGCAACATGAGATGATGGACGTGGATGAATGCCAAAAAAATGGGCCTCAGGATCTCGTCACGGTATCTCTGAGCATTCAAAATGCCATAAATAAAATGCACCCGTGTTCATTGTCCATAACACAAGCCTGCCCATACCATAACCCCACCGCCACCATGGGCCACTCGATCAACAACGTTGACGTCAGCAAACTGCTCCACCACACGACGCCACACACGTCTGCCATCTGCCCTGTACAGTGAAAACCGGGAATCATCCATAAAGAGAACACCTCTCCAAAGTGTCAGATGCCAGTGGCCTTTTATTGTGGCCAGCCTAAGGCACACCTGTGCAATACCCATGCTGTCTGATCAGCATCTTGATATGCCACACACAAACAGGCCTTTTGTGTACATAGAGAAAGTCTCAGATCTTTGAGTTCAGCTCATTGTGAATGGGGGCAAAAACAAAAGTGTTGTAGCGTTTATAATTTTGTACAGTGTATTTATCAATTACTTTTAGCCAACAATTTCAACCATTCATTTTAGTTTTCAACTCCCAACATTTATCCATTTCTTGAAGCCAACTCTTTCGACTGTTTATTCATTACTTTAGCTAACGACTTCAACCATTTAAGCTAACTACTTCAACAGTTTATTCATTAGTTATAGCTAGCTTTTTTGTTTATCCATTGCTTTTACCTAACTATAAATATTAATTATCTACTTCAAACATTTATCCACTACTTTAAGATAACCGTTTTGACTGTATATTCATTAGTTTACCTAGCTTAACTATATCAACAGTTTATTAATTACTTTTGGCAAACAGTTTCTGTTGTTTAACCATTAATTTTAATTATCTACTTGAGTATGACTTATCTACTCATTAGTTTTAGCTAGCTTAACTGTTTTGACAGTTTACTATTTTTAGCTCACAATCTATATTACCTTTTAGATTTCTCTGTGTGCATCTTAGTTTTGACATATATGTAATCACAACATGTGATGTTCAGATGTTGCAGCTGACTCAATCCATAAATACCCCTTTTTGGGAAACAGAATTTCAAACTACTGTGCATGTCATTTATGACATTTAATTCCATAGGAATTTGATGCAATAGGCTACACATACAAAGGTCACAGATCCCAATATGAACCTAGCAACATTAAATGTAACAAGGTACAGAGTTTCATTTGTTTTCCATTTACAAAATCTTAAAGCCAGTTGATTAAAATTAATTACCAATGTTTTATTACTCAAAGCTCATTGTATGTGTGTAAGGTGACCCAGAGTGGCTTCGCCAAGAATTCTTATTTTAATTTAACTTAAAGAGACAGAGAAACAAAGAAAGGAAGACTGACAGAAGGACAGAACAAGAACTAGACAGTATAAGGTGAACAACAAGTGGACATGGATGGAGAAGTAGAGGGAGACATTGAAAATCCCAGCATTAAATGCAATCTATTTATTATCAGTTAAATAAAATATTTGCCATGTTCAAGGCCAGTGCAGCTCTCTAGATGCATTCAGGGAGGATGCTGAGAGAAGAAATGGGAGAGAAAAAATGAAAATAAAAGAATTGTATTATCAACTATAACTGTTAAATCTCAGTACCTACTCTGTTTATTATAAAGGATTCAAATTTAGGAGTACTGCAAGAAGGATGAGCGAGGACTATGCTAACATTTGAAGTGGAAATAAACATCAAATTGCCTGTGACAGCGACAGATCAGCTGTCTGTGGAATTGTTTGCTGCACTGAGAATAGAAAGAGCTTCACGTCTCAAACAAGGGATGCAGGGCACAGTAGGGGATTAAAGGAGAGGCAACCAGGACACAAACAGCAGGGGGTTAATCTGACACTGATTACACACACATATGCAGAATCAGCTCATCTAACATCTACAGTTTATACACACATTTACAGTCAGCATGAACAGAAACACACACACACACACACACACACACACACACACACACACACTGGGTAAACTCCTTTATCTCAGCACAAACTAAACACAATTGAGGGAGGGAGGTGGTGGTAAAGTGGTGTGTGTGTGTACACCTACTGCTTCTCTTCTTAGTTGGACGAAGAACTGTTTGCACTTGAAGGAGATTTTCACAATTTTCAACCTAGAAGCAGGAGAAGACAAAAACATTAAATTAACTAATTAACCTAAGTTAGTTATATCACCTGTATTGAATTTGACACACTAATGTTGTTTACACTTTTGTAACAGTAGTAGGCATGCCCCAACACAAAACAGCGAAACAATCTTCAATAAAATGTAATTTTGATAATTATGTAATGCTAAAAAAAGAATACAATCATACAGCACTTAAATTAGCTGAAAATCATAACTCAAACATGTGTTTAATACTTGCTTTACTGGCAATACCATAACCATCTAAAAAAAATACACAACAAATCTAATAATATGTGAAAGGTGCTTCTATCTGTAACTCCTCATTATCTTATCCTTTTTTGTTTCCCATTAAGTAACTTTAAGGCTGGAAAAATCATCTTTTTCTGACATAATACTATATTTTCTGTATCATTTTGTCCCAGTCCATCATTGAATCTATGTGAGGATTACACTGAGGGAATCTTATATAATATATATAAAACTCAAAAAGGTCACTATGTCTGTAATCTGACTAACAAAAGACTGTATAGTTGCATTATTCTTATCGACTTGCCGCTATTTTTGAGGATATTTTCTGGTCACTATTTTTCATTGCTGTAGTTATATAGCTAGCTAGCTATGCAGAAAGATGATGTTGACATTCCTTACGCCGCCTACAAAGCTTTGTAATTGGATTAATCGACTTTTTCTCCAACATGCAGAAAAAGAGCAAAACACCAGACCTATTTAAATTGATGAAAGAAATCAGACATCTGGGCGGCTATTTATATGTCTGGAACCAGGTTAGGGATTTTGGTATCTTTTGGAAAATTTGGAATAAAAACTAGAATTTAAAGAGATTGTACAATGCTTGGATGCACAGCATAACTTTGCAATGACAGAACCTCTGGCACGTCAGTGGTATTTCAAATGATAAAAGTAAAATAAACAGGGGCGGGATGTTGATCAGCCTGCAAATCACCCACCCAAACAAGCAGTGGAGGGAGGATTCGGCAGACTACGCTGGATGCAGCGTGTGGGAGAAGTAGATAACAAAAGCAAGACAAGCGATCAAACGGCATAATGAAGTGGATAGCTACGCACTGCAAGCTGATTAGTATTGGGGAAGATGACGGTGTTAGGAATGTTCTTAAAATCACAACATAGTCGCTTGGCCCCGTGGGGTTGTTGTTTGCTCTGGTGAACAGGAGACAGCAGGCGCTCTATGGAGAGTAACCATGGAAACGGCTTCTGCACGCTACTCTTCCAATGATTTGTGCTGAGCATTGCGTACAAAAAGTTCAAGACAATTCAACTTCAGCAGCGAGCGGGCGAGTGTGTGTGTGAGGCGAGCACCACCGCAGTTCCCCTGACTAACAGGGACACTTGCTACTGAACATAGACTGTTTATGCTGGTCCACAATAAAAGAAAATGTTTCTGTTGATACCTGTTCTGAGAAAAAAAAACAGATTTACGTATGTTAGTTAACCTGTTGCTCAGAAGGTGCCTTTTATGATGTTATGATCGTGGGTCTGGACTAACAAGTTATGCCCTGGCAGCGGCAAACAGCTTTGGTTTTATATTTGATTTGATTACATTAAATGTTTAGGTTGAGATTTACAAGAAATATTTTATTTTTACTGTGTAAAGGGAACAAAGCACCTTATTTGTTTAAAGTGTTTGCAAACCACACGTTATTGCACTTTTGTGTACATAGTAGTACATTTAAATTAAAAGTGCATAATACAGTACTTTAGAATTCATTATTCAATTTTGTGCATAACAATGTGATTTAATCGCAGAAAATAATGCGATTAAAAATTTGAATCATTGCCCAGCACTAAAAATAGAAGGAAGTTAGTGTTTAGCTACACTCAGCCACACTTGCTCCAGTCCACCATAATCTAAGCATTCATAACTGGCAATGTCTACAGAGGCATCGCAGATCCAAACTTCTCCTTCAGGAATCAATAAATAGAATTGAAAAGCACACTCGTCAATGAATCGCCTGTTCTTCAAGTAAGCTGACCCATGAGTCACTTCCCAACTGTTCATTTAACCTCTGACCCGTTCCTCCGTCCACAGCTGGAGTGTGTGGGTTATAAGAGAACACACTAGAGTCCAACATTTGTCATCACTCTGTGTATTATCAAGTGATGCGTCTAAAGAGGCGGAAACGGTATAAAATAATGTTCGAATCACAAGACCACACACACACACACGGCCACAGTAAGATGTCTACTGATGATCGGCAGAGTAAAATAATCCCTTCCCAGAGCTCTGTTGCTGCTGTGACTCATCACTCCATGCTAAATATATTTTACATACTTACTCACACACACACACTTGCATGAACAAACACACACACGCTCAGGCAGAGTATGAGTCATGCCCCATCTAAGTACGTCTCATTTGTCAGGCTGTTGGGAACAGAAATAGGAAAGAGGCAAACTACTAAATGTTTCTCTCTCTCTCTCTCCCTCTCAACACTTACTCATTGTATCTTACAGTTCAATTTATAGCAAGTAAGAGGAAAAATGACGAGAGAGGAGAGACACCTCGAGAAGTGACAGGACTAAAGCAGATGTAGAAACAGTGAGCCTTTGTTTAAGCGAGAATGAAGAAAGAGAAAATAAAGAAGAGCGGGAGGAAAAAAAGTGAGCGTAGGGTTGAGAGACACTATTGACTGTTATGTCTCTCTCTTCCTAACACATGGTAGTGGACAGCTGTTGGGGACACCGCTGTTGGTCTCTAAACTTAGCTCAACTGTGCACTATGCACACACACAGCTATTTTTTTTCTCGACTTAGGAGGACCTTTGACGCATGTTTATTCACTACAATACATTTATTTAGCTCCTTTTCATGGAGACTTACCTAAACTCTAACCAAAAACCCAATTCTTTACCCTAAAAACCGTCATGCTCTCTGTCCCCGAAGGGGGAGGAGAGTCCCCGGATTTATGAATTTGGTCCCCACAATGTCACACACTCAAACTCATCTTACCACATACACACACACACACACGCCCCCCACACCAGCTGCTATGTGTATTTGGTCAGGGCGTGTGTGTGCATTAAGCCTACACACGAGTGAATTATCTTCCGGAGTTACAGGGATTTGAGCAGTTACTATCCCACCCCCGGCACCCATGAACATTTAGCCTCCCACAGTGCAGCAGCAGAGTATGGTAGATTTCCTAGAATGGGTGCTTTGGAGACAGCAGAGAGCAAGAGACATATCGAGTGATGAGAGTAAGTGAATTCAACAGAGAGGGGTGAATAAATAACAAAAACAGAAGGAGAGCAAGCAGATTTGATGGCTGTGATATTTCCTGGAAACCTAGTTCAACACGAAGCCTCCTCCTCCCTAGTAAAAATCTGGTGGAGATAGAAACGATCAACCAAGGGTTAAACACGCCATGTCAATTATCACCATGTGAGAGTTTTGCTAAATGATTACGCAGCACATTTTTCAGTAAAAGGGTCCCTGGAGGCGCTTCAAGTGGAGCTGGCAGCAGACTGACGGACAGAGAGGTGACAAGAACATCCACAGTTTGATTCCCCAGATCAGGGGAAATGACGGAGAAGCGCTCTGTAGTCGTGTCAACAGTTAACGCTCGAACCACAGGAAGCAAGGCAGCAAAGATTCAACAGTTCCAGCGGAGTTGCTAATGGTTTTTAGCATGAAAGTATCAATGGAGAAGGGCTTGTGTTTCTTTCTAGCAGCGCTCCGTTTTCCATTCACACCTGAGAGCTGCCAGCTTTTCTGCTGTTGGCCACAGAGTAGCTTCCCTGAAACAGTTGGTTTTTCACCAACCTTGCTTGTGGTTCGAAGCAGGTGTAACTAAAACTGTTTGATCACAAACTACTTTTTTGTTTCGCGCTGAGTTTCTGAAACTGCAGTTAGTTTGGAGGTACACATGGTCGTTCAAAAAGTATTTATGTTTTTATCTCTTTCTGTCTATATTGTGCCCTCCAACCAACACAAAGAGGTTTGCCCGCTTGCTACCGAACTGACACCTCTCCCAAACTTCCAAGTACTTGGGCTTCTGCTGTTCATCCACTACCTTCTCCCCCTCTGTGATTTCATCGGTTTTCATGATCTCCACGTCTGTGCTGATGATTACACATCCACCCTGACCAACTGACTCACCGAAATTTAATCATGGATTCAAGCCAACTTTCTAAAACTGGCCTGTGACAAATATGATAAAATCCACGTAGGTCCCAACGTTCTCACCAAAACCTTCTGTCTCACCATCGACGGCTTCACTCCGTCTCCCTCCCCGCGCATTTCAACCGTGGAGTAATCTTTGTAAGTAACCTCTCATTTGTACACCATACACATCCCATCACAACAACTGGCTTTGGCAACAGATACGTCTCACAGCTCACACACAGATAGTGAACACTTAACAACGCATGTAATTTTATGTTTTGTGTGTGTGTGTGTGTGTGTCACTCACCATGGGAAATAGTTCATCCGTACCCTGTTCTTGTAAACCACAATGCCGGCAGACATCACCCCAATAAGAATCTCTGTGTTGCTCTGGTCCTGTGAACATGGGAAGAGAGTGTGTGATGGAGTGTGGTTTTTGGTAGGCTTCCTCACTTCTACAAAACAAGCAGACGTTGCTGAAAACAAGACCTGCCGTGTGGGTCCGCCTGCCTAGAGGTTAATGACACACTGAAAGAAACTCACAACAGTATGCGAGGATGGGTTTAGGCCTGGGTCCAATGGGTTGTAATTGGTTATCTAATGTATAAGTGTAATTTTATACAGTTTACACTGGACATCCTGCAATGTGATACTGACAGTGACAGAGTGCTGAAATATGTTTATCCTGTGCTGCTTTATGAAGACAACAAAATTGATTGACTGAAACCTTTGCTAATCAATAATAATGAATAGCCAAAACAAGCATGGAGACTGTTAACCATTTCAAGATTGTTCTGTTCTGTTCATGACTTTTTTCCTAGCTAGTGACCCCATTTAAAGGGACGACTTTTTATACTTCTTGCTTAATTATTCCGTTGCTGCATGCTTTGAAATTTAGATTTTTTTTATTAAGGTTCATAAATTCATTGCTTATAAATGTTCAACCTTTTACTCCTAAAGGAAAGATTATTACATTAAAAAGCAAGGCTACTCCCCAACCAAATGATGCAAGCAATGCTTATGTAATAACAAAATAATCTGCTTCAAATCTTTTCTTTAATCACTTTCTGACCTCAGACAAATAAAAAAATAAATAACCTCATGACATGTGAGCAGGTTTACCGTCAGTACGTTTAAGGACAACCGCAACACAACTTTCACTCCACAATGACATCATGGTTGACTCCTTCAGCTTTAACTCTAACACAGTGGCCAGAGTAGAAATTGAGATTTATGTCCATCCAATAGAAATCTATGAAAGAATAAATGATGATTCGGCTACTCTGCTACTATCTGTTGCTGTTTCAGTGAGAGCTGCAACGCCAATGTGTGGGCATCAACATCAGCTGTACACGCTGCAGCTCCTCCAACCTGTTCTCATTCCTCCTCAGCTGCTGCGGTAATAACAGCGTTGAAGCAACCATGTTGTGATAGCGGAGTGCAGACTGGGGCTTTATTATATACATTCTGATACCACGGGTTGAATTATGTTGTAGGAGAAGGGAGAGAAGGCTAGAGTGACGCGGCAATGCTTTTTGCTGGGGAAAGAAAACGATGAGGCAACAGACAATCAGCGTATATAGAGCACACATACACCAAAACAGACGGGTGTTAACGGTCACAGAATAAAACGTTACTTACCCTTGCATAGTGCAGCTCTACCCCGTAGTGCTCCAGCGTGCGTGCTGTGTTCAGATAATTAAACTCTGACTGGGCAGGAGATAGGCCACTGGGAGGAGGGGGGAAGGAAGTGACAGGTGGGGAAGAAGAGAGAATATGAAGGGCACAAAAACAAAACAACAGAAATGGGTGATTAGAGATATGACAGGGCTCAACGTTAAACTTTTTTGCAACTGGCCCCACCGGACCAGTGGCCATTTACTAATTAAACGTATACAGAGCAGCGAATACTAGTCGCCTCTATCCCTATCCTGATTGACAGGTCGCCATGGTAGCTACATGTCAATCACAAGGTAGTCCCGCCCTAAAGCATACGCTGCTTTCTGGTTTATTTCACTCTAAATCGGTGTAAAAGAAGACTTCAAACTAGCGACTGAGAACTGCAAAAACAACTGCAGGATGTTGAGTTTGTAATGTGATTTTTTTGTATTCGTTTTTTTAATACTAATGTTTTGACACTGGCCCAAAGTTGCAAGTTCAACTGTCCCGATGTTACTTTTTACTGGCCCCGGGCCCTCGGGCCATCGGGCCATCGGGCCACCGTTATTGTCGAGCCCTGTAACAGCAGGGAAAATGTCAGATGACCTGTGTCACGCAAATCATTTGTGTGCGTGTGTACCATGGTGCGTACGTGTGCGTCGGTATGTACGCAAGTATGTGAAGTAGTGATCTCTGTTTTGACAGGTGCCAATATGCCAACACTGATGGCAGAATGAATGACTTTTACTGCTGAAAATGGTGCCAATGTAACAACATTTAATACGACAGTGACTCTGAAGTGACCTTAGATGAACAGTCTCTTTATCTGGCCATACAGAGATCTCGTCAAGGTCATTTTTTGAGTGATTTTACCACCACACGAACGGTTAATGCGAATGTGTGAGTCCCTTTGTGTTTGTACATGCATTTGAATGTGTGTGGGGGATCACAACTGGGCTTGTTTCTGCATCTCAGTGTACCTGTGCTGCTGGTGATGTTTGGCGACCTCTTTGTGGAAGTCTTGCGGAGGATTGGAAATGAAGCAGTATTCCGACAGGTAGCCTGCTGTATGCTCCGTTTCACTGTAGTCCCCCAACTCAGCTACAGAGAGAGAACAAGAGAGAGAGAGAGAGAGCGAAAGAGATGGGTCAACGCATCAACAATTTAACAGGCGGAGAGGTGGAAAGAGACACCGAGACAACCACAAGGATGTCAGAAAGGATGGATTTAATTTTACTGTTATGCAGTAGGCTACTGGCCTATAGGCAATGAAAACAAATTTTCAATGCAGACCACAGCCATCTTCATTCACAAACATGTTTACATTTATTCATTTAGCCGACGCTTTTATCCAAAGCGAATGTCTCACAGTGGGAATCGAACCCAGGTCTCCCACACCAAAGCATGCATCTTATCTATGCGCCGCCACCACCCACATTATGAGATATGATCACTTGTATGGTTTGGCTCATTAGGAAACAAAATATCACCAAACCACTGACATTCAAGAATGTTTCCGTCATCATACTTAGCTAAATTTGCACTTGGTAGTTGATACTTCTTTCACAGCCAGCTGTCATCTCACAGTTTTCAATCGCTCTGTCATCTTTTTTTTATTTTGCGGCGAGTATTTGTTTACACAGGAAGGCACTGGGACAATCACAATGGCGAAACTAACTAATGAATCTTCACACCTTAGCTGCAAATGTCTCACAGCCTCTGATAATCCTGTTCCAGTAAGTAAGCATCATCGCTAGGGGCAACGCTGAATGTGCACTTAGTGTTTAAGCATGCCGGCAGCGCCAGGAGATTAAAATCATTTAGTGCAATAACGCCACGTTATTTTTGAGTGGGCATGTGTTTGTTTGTGTTAGGCATAAATCTCACCACAAATCCACAGAAATGTTAACTTCAGCACCCTCCGATGAAGCAGCCGCTCACAGGGAAGCATCCTGGAGCAGTGAGACAGCCCCAAACAGAGCAAACGTGTCTCTTAAGCGAAGGGGACGCAGAGACAGCAGCGACACAGAGCTTCGGGTCAGAGAAATAACGCCACACTGCTGCCCACATTTCTTACATGTCTGAAAAACTGGAGACCGCCAGGAAATACTAAAACATGCATCTATAAATTTTTGGATCAAATTTATTGCGATATATTGAGATATTGGAAGGGGCATGTCCCTACCTACTGTTATGCGCTTGGAATTTTAGGTATTAGAAAACTAAATTGGAGCAATAGTCAGGAAACACAAATGCATTTCCTTACTTTCTTTTCCCCATACTCATCTAGGGAAATTACTGAAATCAAAATTCCATACTGCATAGGAACCCAGATCTCTGGTTGCAGTCAGAAACATCCCCAAAGACTTAGCGCACTATCAAGGCTGAAGCTCAAAAGCATCGATTCACTGAAGTAGTCCCTGTACTGACCTACTAGCCGGTAGCCTAAGCATATTGACCAACGAATCAATTCCAACTCGCCCGCTTATTGATGGGCACACATCTCCGGAGAGAAATATAAGTGCAGTCAATAGACTGACATCTTACGACAGTAGGCCTTAATGCTGCAGTTATGACTTCAACAGGGTTCGATGTTAAGGCCAATGAAGCTCAAAGTCTAGCTGACGACCTAATCTCCCTACATACATTCATCGTTCTCAAAACTCAGTTGTGGATTGGCTCAAAGTTGAAAGACTCGCAGAGCACAAACAAGACATTCGACTCTCCATCTGTGACGATGGATTTACATGCATTGTGGGTAATTTAGTCCAAGTGTGGTGATGCAACATTTTTGTAGATAATGAAAAGGTGCATTTCACAAGCTCCTCATGCTTTAAAATGAAGCAAAGCAAATGTGTTCATTTCAAGATCTCATTTCTGAGGAAAGGAGGGTTGCTATGGTTTTCAGAGTATTTGGTCAATTTCAAGAAAGACTTTAGGTCTACTGTGTGGGATTTGTGGTGTTTTGAGAATGCAAGCTTTAGCACAGGATTTAGAGTGATCAGGGCTGGCACTTGGGCCAAGCTAACTGAATTAGCAGCATAGCAGCTGCTTCAAGCCGTTTTTTCCCCCCAAAGCAAACATTTATTCTTCATAATCTGGGCTGGCACTGTGCAAAGTGACAGCATAGACCTAGCTACAGAGTGTGTGTCTGTGTGTGTGGGGGGGTAAAAGCAGTAGTGTCATGATGTTGGTAGTCTAGGCCAAATCTCTTCTCTGACCTATATACTGAAGCAGTGCAAATTCCCCACAAAATATGCCAGAGAGGTGGAGAGAGACTGAAAGAGGGGGCAGAAGGGGTGTGTGAGGGGGTTATACGTGTGAAAAAAAAAAGAAGGGGTAAGCAGAGTGGGATGATAAGGGCTGATCAGAGGGCAAAACAGGCTGCACGCACACAATGAGCAGCAGTAAAAAAGGAAGAGCGGTGGAGACAGACCAACACAGCAGTGTGTCAGGAGTCATTATTCTGATGACAGAGGGGCCCGGTCAGCATTTAACCCAAACGCTAAATCACAACAGCAGATGAGGTTAGCGCTGAGTGTTGAACGTCTGCTGGCATACTCTGTCTGTAGAGATGTTTTTTAACCCATGTTATTTTTTTTTCATTGATTTTTTTTCCAGGTCCTGGAACAGCGTTGGGAGCAAGGAACAACAAACAGCTATATAATTCACTGGGAAGCCTGTAGCAAAATCTGGGTTTCTTCAATGAAAGTGTTGATGGAGTTTGCAACAATATAATCTAGATGAATTAGAAGGTTTATTTATTTGTCCTTTCAGCACTCAAGTGCAGCAATTTCAGAAATTTGGATACTCAAATAGGAAAGAAATAAAGAATAATTCAAAGTTGCCATTCCTCTAGCACATTTCCCATTGCCCACAGTACCATTTGGAAAATAAGGACGCTTTTTAAATGGTCCCAACTGTAAAAACCGAACCACAATCACATTGAATATTCATATCACTGTGAATAATATCAAATATCACCACACGGCTTAATTGAATCATAATGGCTTCAGAGTAGCAGTTACAAATGCACTGGAGCCGCCGCGGACATTACATTTAACTAGCGAAAGAGAGCCCTAATGAACTGCTTTTTCCAGCGTTATGTAGAGGGATATTATCCAGGGAGCACTACTTACATTGAACAGCATAGGACGCCAGCAGTGCGGCTGTGTTGTGTGGACACGGCAATCTGGAAGCCACAGGAACGAACACACACACACACAAAACCAACAGACACATATTTAGCCTTGGATCAATACAAAATGTATTATAGTTCTTTTAAAAGAGCATAGAATAATCATCTTTGATAAACAGTAATATAGAAAGCATCAACATAAATGATATTTTCTTTGAAGAAACCAACGCTTACTTTTAGTGACAAAAACAATAATGAGTGTGTACATCTGCCCAATGAGCTTGTGTGTGTGTGTAAATAAAGTCATATTTCCTACAGTCAAACAGCTCTCCACTACAACCAAAGCTAATGCAATGCTAATAATTCTACTACAGCAGCTCTTTATGCGGCAGAACTGCCCACTCCAACATCTATTACACTAAAGGACGACACACTCACCTTCCAGTAAATATATCCTGCTTGATCTGAAGAAAATATTGGTACCTGCGGGTGGGATAGCACACTGCATTAGGATAAGAGGCCAGTGAACCATCACCTCTGTTTTAATTGAATATAAAATGATGGAAAGACAAAACAGCCAACAGAGGCCTGCCGGTCAGATTATAATGGTGACACAAATTAATGGACACCCTTTAGCAGAGGCCTTTGTTTAATTAGGAGTACAATAAGGGATGATTTTTGTCATGTCCTATTAATGAAATACTAGTATATATAAGCTCCTATGATAAGTAGTTTTAAGAAAGAAAGATTGGTCGTTTGGAAATTTAAGGGAAAATGAAAATATCATCCTACAACTAGCAATGCTTTAAGGAGCCATTTCTCACCAAAGCCCTTGTTATCAGTACTGTTGATGTGCACTGCACCACCAATGTCATAAACATAGTCCGCCAAAGCTTTCAGGACTGTGTTTTGGTCGTGACTTGCATGTACAATACACCAGATCAGCATGTCAGATTCAAGGCCCACTATTCACTGTTTACAAGCTGTAAGCAAAGTGTTGAAGAGGGCCCAGGGAGCGAGGCCATGGCTGAGAGGGTTGAAACAAACACGAGATGAGAGGAAACACGAGACAGAAAAGGCGATATGGCGCTCCAACGCCTCTTCTGCAAGTTGTTTATGTCCAACGCATCCACGAGAGAATTAAGCTCTGGTCCTGGGAATCCATTTTTAATGATTAGATCCAAAAAGCTCTTTTCATAAAGCAAATTTTTACATTATTACTTATTTTATAAATACAGTATACAATATGTCCCATCTTGCACAATGAGCTCTGGGACATTGTGTCCCTCCATTTACAGCTGTGCGTGGCACTTGCACACTAAATAAATATCTCTAGTGTGATGGACAGCATGTGCTTTCTCCTACATGTTTGCTGATGCCGGTAGAGATTGTTGAGAGAGAATACAACAGGAAACACATTGGAAAAAAGTTTAAACAGTCTTTACATTTTCAGTAACACATACAGTATCTCACAAACCTGACATTTTTGTAAATATTTGATTTTATCTTTTCATGTGAAAACACTAGGCTTCCTTCTGGGACGACAGCCAAGCAGACCAATTTGATGCTGTGTGCGGCGTATGGTCTGAGCACTGACGGGCTGACCCCCCCCCCCCACACACACACACCTTCAACCTCTGCAGCAATGTTGGCAGCACGCATTCGTCTATTTCCCTAAGACAACCTCTGGATATGATGCCGTGCACGTGCACTCAACTTCTTTGTTCGACCATGGTGAGGCCTGTTCTGAGCGGAACCTGTCCCGTTGAACTGCTGTTTGGTCGTGGCCACCATGCTGCAGCTCAGTTTTAGGGTCTTGGCAATCTTCTTATAGCCTCGGCCATCTTTATGTAGAGCAACTATTCTTTTTTTTCCCGCTCCTCAGAGAGCTCCTTTGCCATGAGGTGCCTTGTTAAACTTCCAGTGATCAGTATGAGAGAGTGTGAGAGCGATAATACCAAATTTAACAAACCTGCTCCCCATTCACACCTGAGACCTTGTAACACTAACGAGTCACATGACACCGGGGAGGCAAAATGGCTAATTGGGCCCAATTGGGACATTTTCACCAAGGGGGTAAGCCACAGTTGAAACAGTGAAGCCGACCAAAGCCTGCATGGACCATTGGTCCAAAACTGGCTTCACTGCTCTCTATTCAAGTCAGCGGGGTGGCTTCGTCCAGTAATATACCGTCTAGGATTTTCACTTACTCACTTTAGTTGCCAGCGGTTTAGACATTAATGGCTGTGTGATGTGTTATTTTGAGGGGACAGCAAATTTACACCGTTATACAAGCTGTACACTCACTACTTCTTCAGTGTTGTCACATGAGAAGAGATAATCCAGTACTTACAAAAATGTGAGGGATGTACTCACTTCTGTGAGATACTGTATCTGGCAAAGCTATTTCCACTGCAAACCTATAGAATATAATTAAACGGTAACAATCAAGTATGATGCACCAGTCTAGTGTTGCAGTGGTGATATCAATGGGTAAAACTATAACTATAAACACAGGCATCTATGGCTATGACCCCTGTTAACCTCTTGTGCCAAGCAAGAATGCAGATTTACACCTTTCCCCTTTTATCAGTGAAAGTGAGCATTCATGTGTGTGATTATCAGTATACAATTGTCTTTTCCTCTGTAATATTAACAATCTTACCGCGTGTATTCTTCCTGAAGTTTATTGGGGTCTGTCACAAAGAATTTGACTCTGAAGCTCAGGTTATGGGGAGACCCTCCTAGAATAAATTATACAGTTAGACAGAGAAGACACAACATGGCAGATCTGTGAGTGGATATAATCTGTAAATGCATTGTCAGCTTTTATACCTTAAGACTGGACGTCAGACAGTCAAATGACCCTATTGTGATTGCTCGATTTAAGTTGTGCCCTATGTATTTATCAAGCTGAGTTTAGCTGAGAATGTGTGAAATATCCATCTCTATTATGATAATGTAGATACTATATAAATGAAGCAATGCAGTTTCTTAAAAAAAAAAAAAAACGGCTCAAAAAAGAAAGTTTTAATTCAGAAAATGAGAGGCCAATACGTGAAGCCAAAGAGACACAGTTTGATACTGACACAGTTTTATTATATACGCACCTATTTCTGTTAAAGGATATAAACTGGTGAAATAAACCACTTAAAGTGTAAAATAAGCAAGCCTACATTCATACAAACGCATCAGTCTAACTCCATGTACTGTGCAAAGCACAAAAACCCGTGGATATTCCTCCATGAATCAGTCACAAAGCATAAAAACAGAGTTGAAACACAGTTCAATCATTGCTTGAGGAGAACTGCATTTCTCACTAGGGCTACTTCTTAATTGTTCAACATGTTACAAATTCTATTACTCATTATCAAAAAAAAGAAAAAATAGAGTTGAAATGAAGTTTAATCGTTGCTCAAGGCAGATTCTGAATCTTAAATCACACTCAGTGTGGACTGGAGACTTTAGCTTGAGGTGGTGTGTGGATTTTTAACGGTCACTGAGGCTGGACTGCAGACTACTGCTTCAAACTGCTGCTAAATCTGGAAATTCAAGCTACGGAGGCGGACTTGAGTGAGCTCTCTTAACTTCACGACTTTCTGCCGTTTCCTGAAAATGGCCCGTACACGTGATTCCAGGTGTTGAGGTGTTGAGATTGACGATGATTTTTCACTTACTTTTTAACTGTTTCCTGATGGGCTTGTTGGGGTCGAGCCAGCGCTGTAAAATATTGATTGAGAGATATTTAGAGACACCGTATGGCTTACACAGCATGAATAGACAAGCTCAGTTATTCACCACTGGTCACGCACACAATGTACCTTCTAGATATTATTATTTCATCCGATCAGAGATCACTAGAGACCTCGTGTAGGCACACAAACACATGTTTGACCTTTTGTTCAAGTTAATGTCAATCAATTCACCTACACAATGGATTAAGACAACTTTCAGCCTACGTGTTTTATGGACTGGACCGTCTTGTCACCTATTATTCACTCTCACACACACACACACACACAGTCCTGTAGATCAAAAACATCATACTGACTGGCGTATCTAAGGAGTCATCAGCCAAGTGCAGGCCAAAGTAGTCCCTCTCAGTCAGCTCCAGGTGCTTAAAGACAGCATCCAGCAGCACCTGGCCATGATCCGACTTCTACAGAGAAGAACAGAAAACACACAAGGTATTACAATTTGTTCCTCACTGTAAAAACAAAACAAAAAAGTAAGGAAGGGACGCATCTCATCAGTGAAGGCAAGCGATTGAGAGAGGAACTGATTAAACCCTATCCTGTGCCTATTATGGCCGAAGATTGAAGCGTGGTGCCCGGACTCATCGCACAAAGAAATCCCCTTTTCCCCTCCACAGACAGCTAAATTACTAAATTATTCAAACGCTCACATAGCTACAGAAACGTTTCACCGAGTTAAAATCCATGTGTGATCCATCCATGTTGAGCCTTATTTAATATCTTTCCAACCACAGGGGGAAGAACATGTATAAGGGATTAAGCTGATCCGTGCCTGTGGGCTATTGTGGTACATTTATCTATTTCGCTACACGGTTTGTTCAGTGACCGTGTAACGTCCTCTGACATCTTTCTAGCCACGGAGGAAGGTTACAAAATCTAACCTAACCTAAATGAAAAACAAAAACACAGAATGTAGGCAGCATGAACATTTAACAAAACATGTAAAGCCTTCAAAACTGCATCTCTAAAGTTTGTGCTACTTACATCTGTGGATTAGGGCTGAAACGATTAATCAATTAAATTGATTAAAAATTCTTTGCGTCGATGCTTCGTTTAATCCAGTATATTTATTTTATAAAGTATTTAGCGCACTGTTTCACACAGACATTTATTACTGTCGCGCTTATGCTGTGTGAACACGACGTGATTATGACGGCGCTGTTTGCAAAGTGGAGGAAGAGAGAGAAAATAGCGAGGGATGGAGAAGTATACTTTGTATATAACAAAGTATTTTTTCAAGCTAAAAGAAAACAACAACTCTGTAATGTTATAGTCCATCCACCGTAAAACGAAACTTATGCCGTCTACCCTACTGCAACAGCACGCCGGCATCCGATCAGAAAGCACCCGTCTATCATCAAGTCCACAGAGCAGACCACAGAAATGGTAAGAGTAACAGCAACTTTGGCTTTTAACTGAAATCATGATTGATTTTTTAGTTGACGGCTATCAAAAGTTTGCCGCAGTCCTCCGCTGTAAATGTATACACGTGCGTTTGTTGTTCTTCGCCTGGTTAGGCTTTGAGTTTGGCTTGTAACGTCACAGTCATGAGTTAACTTACACAGCTGATCCCGTTACCCCTGATTATTAATTCAATTCAATTCAATCTAACTTTATTGGGGTGGCGATGGTGCAGTGGATAAGATGCCTGCGTTTGGTGTGAGAGACCTGGGTTCAATTCCCCACTGTGTCCCTGAGCAAGACACTAGTTGCTCCAGACGTGTGCAACCTCTGACTTATATAGCAACTGTAAGTCGCTTTGGCTAAAAGCGACACACATAGTAAATAAAACAGGAAAAATGTGTGTGTATATTAATAGACAAAAAAATAAAACTAATAAAATACTGTGGATTATCTTTTCATTTGCTTATTTTAGATGTGTAGAGCTGCAATGGATTTTCAAAGCCATTAACCTTGTATCAGCTTGTTTAAATGTGATCTCAGTTCCCACAGTCAACAGCCGCATTCAAGCAAACCGCAACATTTGGTGACCTGGTTTAATGGGTCCGTAAAGAAAAGTCACTAATTAAACAATATAAATATGTCATTCACATACAGGAGTGTGAAAGCTGAGAAGTGAAGATTCATGGTTACATTCTCACAATTTCACTTTTTGCTTCCTTTAAATTACTAGAGGCAGATCATCAAGGCTGTAATGTGTGGGGGCAGTTATTTGATGAAAACTGTCATGTGATTAGAAAGAAACATACAGAAGTTTAGAAGTTTACTACTGAGGATCAACTTGACGGTGGGAAAAAAAAACCCCAAAGCATGATAAAGAACTGAAAACTTTTGACATAGAAACCACCGTCTGCCTGTGGTCAAGCTTGCATCAGGGAGAGACATGGAAAGAGGAACATTTAGAGAAAGAGGTAGAGTTCAGGAAGGTGTTTCAATTTGTGTAGATCAGTGACCATGTGTTTTAAAGTGGTTAAGTAACTTCAAATGCACAAGTTCTGTTTTCTGTGCTTTACTACAAAGGTTTTGGACAGGAAGCGCTCAGCGCTGCTGCGTGAACTTCACAAACACATGCAATCAGTAAACAGGTTCAGTTTCATCCAGATATCAGAGCCACTTCTCTAGAAAAGGAATTGAAGATGAACTGGAAATTGTACCTACGCTATGTACCACAGTTTAATGTGCAAGCATACTACTAATGCTGAAATGAATGACCACAGTGTTGTTGTTGTACCCTTACTGGAGTCAGAGGGTACAATGTCATAATAACGGGATGAATAGTGGCTAAACAAAAATGGAGGAATTTCCATTTCACAGCCAGTGAGAAAGACGAGACGGGGACAGACGGGAGGGAAAAGAGGGAGAGAGAAACGGGTGAGGGATCATTTATTAAACAGATCGTTAATATCGCATCGCTTCGTGAGAGAGTGGGAAGGGCGAGAGGATAAACTGTGGGACCACAAGTGGAGCAGAAACTCACACCTGACCCTGCCGCGATTTCGAGAGAGGTGGGGGGGAGAGAAGAGAGAGTGTGTAACTCCATCAGAGCTCCCATGGGAGAACACACACACACACAGTTACTGCTTTGGTCCACCTCTCAACTTTACCCTGTTGACACACATTTAACAGCCCAGCCTGAGTGAGTAAAGAGTGTGTGCGTGCAGCGGGCGATGATGGTTGACATGTTGACATTGCAGCCCTCTAGTCCTCAGATGTGTTTGTGTGTCTGCTGGCAATCTACTGCTGTCAAACGAGTCAACTCTGATACCCTCTGTGCTCCCTCCTTCCTTTCTTTGCCAGCACGTCTGAATGATAAGAAAATGAATAGGACTGTTAAAAGCACATACATCTAGTACTAAAAAAAACCATCTCATACCGCTGAATATTGGAGGCGTTGGCGAAGGAATTTTACTAAATCTGACAAAATGGACAAACAGACTCGCTGCGCTGCAGTCTCTCAGAGAATACATATCATCCATCCACACTAACTGACTGTCATGAACTCTTTGTCGTCAGGTGATCTACGTCTTTGACAATATACATGACAAAATACCACAGAAACTGTCACAAACTTGGCTACATCATTAACAGGCAGCTGTCAAATGATTTAACCAAGTGACTGATTTGCTGACTGAGGTCAAGCAGACTAAACGAGGAAGTGGAAAAAAAAGCACACGCTCTGATACATGTAAGGCTATTCAGAGACTGTCTCTGTCTGTGTGTGTGTTTGTCCACTGCTTCTCCTTTGTATGAAGTAGCTTTTCAAGCTAGATGTGGGAGCCCTCTGTGCACTTTTTGTACCGTGCTCCCAGGAAACCCATCGCCACTCTGTGTGTGTGTCTGTGTGTTGGCCTCTTCTAGTATTCATGTGCGAGCCAAACAGCCATACATTGTTAAAACTCGAGTTGGGGGACATGCACACTGACAAGGCATGCACACACACACACACACTTTCACGCATTCTTTCTCTGTACTTTTACAGCAGTAAAGTCCGTAGCCTGCCGTGAATAGCTCGTGGACTGGAAAGAGCCACAGAGACAGAAAGACATACTAAAGGAAGAGACCAATGAGAGACAGAGAGGGGGCTGGGAGAAAGAGAAAAAGAGTGACCGATGATGTGGTTGTGAGAGACAAACGCTCTTTGTGTTGATCTTCATCAGTCCTGTAGCACCAGTGACTGAAATAGTGTCTGTGTGCGTGAGAGTGAGGCGACAAGAGGGAGAGGAGCGGTGATAGAGTGCAATCAGAGACTGGCTGAGAGAGGGAGAGAGAGAGAGAGATGCTCTGACAAGTTTTTGTACCCTGAGGGTTTATCTTAAGTGACCCCCAAACACCAATCACAGTAAAGGGACCCAGGTGAAAATCCCAGTGTTTTTATGGCAGGTTAATAAAATAAATAAATAAACACAAAGCGTGACTTTTATTTCCCTCCTCACTTCTTCCAGAGGAAACAGCTGAACATGCTGCATGTACATGTTTTTGTTAAAGAATGATGGAAATTCAGGAATGCGTGAGGCAGCTTGCCCAGACAGGAAAGGAGAAGTACGTGAAGGAGTCATTCATATCTACCTCTGAAAACAAACAAGAACAGTGACTTAAACAGGAACATAACCCACCATAGTCTAGGTATCGAGCCACACACAGACACACTTAAATGCTTTACATGAATCCACCAATTCCATTCAAAATATACACAAATTATACTGTGTATGTTATTTGATCCTCCTGAGTACAGGAAAAAAAACAAAACACCTGTGACACACAGCCAGGCTACATGTTAAAGCTGTGAACATTTTTATGCCTGCTAAATATCAGTTATCATTTATCTACTGTCCCGTCCTAGCTAGCTCACTGATGTTTGTACACACACACACACACACACACACACACACACACACTCTCCCCTTTTCTGGACAGAGAAGGAGCTAAGCAAGCAAAAGACTCCCACAGCCACACCCGTCCCCCAACACTAACACACTAATAAAAATTTGAGATATCTAGATGTTTGGAATTGAGCCACGTCAGAAGATTATAGGTTTGCTCGCTGAAGCCAAAAAGTTGAATTACAACAGTGAACGACCAAAATAAATGTTCAGTTCAATTGCGAGTGCACTCAAAATAAAGTAGACCCGGGTATGTTAAAGTAAAGTTCACAGTTCCCCAAGAAAGCAAGTGTCAGTGTGCACAAAGTTCTAACTGACCCCTTTGGGCCAAGGAGGTAATAGATAAAGGTTCTCCGGCTTAAGGAGAAAAAGGTTGCAACCTCCTGGCTACAAGTCGGGGTTGGCTCGCCATCCAGTGCTGGAAAAGTTTCTCCAAGTTCTCCAAGGCCTCTGAGGATTTCCACCGCCGGTCTAGACTCCACCAGACCACGATCTCCCGTATTACAAATTACATGTTTGCAAAATGTGATTTTGCACAAATCAAAAAGTCTGTGTACTTCTTT